GCACCGGGTGTCACGTCCAGTCTTTTCGTTAAACACCTTCCGCGACGGCGACTCCAGCGCCTCCCTGGGCAGCGCGTTCCAGTAGCTGACACCCGCTGAAGAAATCCTTCCTCATGTCCAACCCGAACCTCCCCTGGCGCAGCTTGAGGCCACGTCTGGTTCTGTCGATTGAGGAGACCGACCTCCACCTGGCTCTAACCTCCTTTCGAGAGTCGCTGGAGAAACAGGATCAGCCTTCTGCTGACGGTGCCACAGGGATACGAGCTCAGGATGCCCCCATGATCAGCAAGGGGAGTAAACGGAACCTCACAGAAATTATTCACTCGAGGTGTTCCCCTCAAATAAGATATTACCGCCTTATTTATCACCTTTCAAACCTTCCTGCACTCTCTACCTAAGCATAACCAAAGTTTTTCCCAGCTCTGAGCCAGAAAACAAACCATCCGCTGTAGGTATAAAGGAGTTCTAAAGGACATGACTCACTAGGCAATGAGAGTGGTTGAAATTTGCTAATTGACATCCTTGAAGCTGCCAGAGGTGAAATGAAAAAGGCATAAAGCTGGCTCAGTAAAAGACAGAATGAACTGAGTGTGTTAGTGTGGGGATGTGGCAACAATATGAACCATGAGGAATGAATCTGGCCTGTCCTAATTGGACAAGAGTTCTAGTTTTGAAATTAGAAGGGGGAAAAGAAATTCCTCCTATTTTTCTATGTACTGCCCCTCACACATTCACCACAAGACGTGCATGTAGTCCTATATAATACATCATATATCAATAAATGTGATGGGTCCTTCAAATACCTGAATTTGCGAATAATTTTTTGTTCAGCTATGTGTGAATTTTGTAGGCTGATGCTACCAGACACCGCACTATCCAAAGTGAAACACAAAGCTGAGCACTTTTTCTTTAGGACTAGGACTTAAAAACACTTCCCTTGTGAAAACATCTTTTTAATGAGTTGACAGGCCTCTGTATTACAGACTGAGTTCCTGATATTTGTAATGATGTTATTAAGACAGGCAAATGAGAGTTAAGTTCATGAAGCACAGAACTGTTAGGACTGGACCTCTGGAAATCATTCCCCTCTCAAGGCAGGGTCACACTGAGCAGGTGACACAAAATGTATGTGGAAGATGTACTAACTATACTGGGAAATTTAAAGGTTAGAAATAGTAAAATAAATTATGCAGCTACGTATTTCAGTCGTAAGTACCAAAAATAAATGAAAATAAGCTAAAAAGAAGAAAAGCAAAATATAATTACCACCCCCTTAGTAGCAGTGAAAAAATTCCACTGGATTGTCCAGCAGTGATTTAGTTTTGGTTTTTTTTGGTCATTACTACTGCGTGGTCAATTTGGTTTTTAACTGCATGGAATAGATAACTTGGTAAGATCTGTGAAAACAGATTTTGCAAGAATAGTTAAGGGTTACATCTTTGGACTTTCTTTTCAAGATGAGTTAGCATTCTTTAATGGAAGTACATCACTGGTGAAACAGCCACCCACGGGACAAAATACTATTTTTAAAGCTAAATAAACTTGGTATGATTGAAAGGCTCTGCAGGATGATATACTTACATTTATCTCTGATGCTAGTAGGAATCCACTGCTTGAGCATTAAAGTAATATACCAAGGAATACAAGTTCTTTCTTACAAGTACCTTTCCCTAAATGCTGTGCTCAATAAAGAAATTTATTCAGCTCTTTTATTTAATATTTTTACTTTAAAGCAAAAATCAAAGAAATTACAAACATGAAAAAAGTGCCCTGACTCACACACTGAAGTTTAAAAGCTCCCACCACCAAAGCAACAATTATTTTAAAATAAATCTCAATTCTAATCACTTTGTTACGCTAGGTACTTTATACCTATGCTGTATTAGATTTCTCTGTAAGACAAGAAGCACTGCTTTTGGTGCTACAAAATGAGATAAGTTCTTAATACTACCAATAATGTTCTCAACAATGACACATCCCTCTTAATGCAGTGAGCTTAGTCACGAAAAATCTTAGACTTTGGTTTCCTGCTGATGTCACTGAACATGAATTCAAGATTCTCACGTGCCAAGTCAACAAAATCAAGTAATTGGGGTGGAAGCCTGGGAATTGTTTTGATTAAGATTGCAACGTTCCTTTAGCATATGTGGTGTGGAACTTTTCTCATGCTGTTGTCCAGAAAATGACAACTGGGCTTGTGGAGAAACTATGGTAAAATAAATGAAGACTGCAAGTCAAATATTAACCTTTGCATTTCTTCTAAAATGCAAAAACCAGTTGTGCGCCATCAGGCAAAAAGTAGTAAATTATTTTGCTGTAATATGCCTATTGACTAATTCAAAGACATGTCAAACTATTTTAAATGCATCCTTTTCATAATGTTTCTAAAATACAAAAAGACCCAACAATTAATTAATTTGTAGATAAATCAATTTAATCCTGCATTTAGTATAATTTATATTATATTCATACCAAAATGAACAGGTGGTATCTCTCAGTAATGGCAGAATAAATCAGAACCTGATTTTCAAAGTAATTCACAGTGGAAACTGTGACCAAAACGGACACAAGAATGTAAGCATATGGGAATACAAGCAAGGAGTGATAGGGGATGGCAATTGTACCCTAGTACAGGCTATTTTTAGGAAGCATTACTTATGCTTTTAAAAATGTGTATCAATATACACAAACCCTTTGAAAAAAAACCAACAGACCCCAATCAGTGGGCATCCAGAGGGTAATGGCCAAAAGCTCAGAGACCCAATGCACATCAGTGACAAGTTGAGTCCCACAGGGATCTGTATCAGGACCAGTGTTATTCAATACCTTCATTACTGACACAGATGAAGGGATCGAGTGCACCCTTATCAAATTTCCCGATGACACCAAGCTGAGTGATGTGGTTGACACTCCTGAAGGACAGGATGCCTTCCAGAGGGACCAGGACAAGAGGACTTTTCATTGTTTTTCCAAACAAGTGGTTATTTTAATCAAGGAATCAACAAGAATTTCTTAAAAAATCTTAGTCAGACAGCTTCACGTATTCTTACAGAAAAATGAAAAGCCTTACCAAATAAACCTGACACCTGAGGGAAAAACATGTATTTTAAACAGACCCAAAACCACATTCTTTCTTCTTTTTATACTAGTTCTACTTTACTAAAATTTACAGTTGGAAGTTCTTTCTCAGTTGGTGCAGAATCAACCCCAGTGAGAAAGATTGTTTTCTTCCACCATCTCTAAATATGCAAAAAATAATATTTGGCCCAATTCTTCTATTAATATGGAAGCAGGTGGTGTGCCAAACAACCACTCTGCTGAGATTTATACCAGATAAGATGCCACACCCCTTCCTACTCCCCTGCCTCCAAACTAGTGAATCCAACAAGATTTAAACCAGATTTAATTGCCTTGATATGAAATAAAACTAAGGGAAGAAATCAGCGTAACACAAGAAATGGTCTTCCATATAATGACTCACAAAAGGAAAATTATTAGGTTGGTGCACTGGGATGGCTCTGAAATGAAATTTCTCTCACCCATTCCTCACCCAACAATCTTCCAGTGCAGAGTACACAACGCCCAAGAACCAAAGCAGTGAATACTGTCGAATATAGCTAACCAGATAATCAAGTGGAAACTTAAAATAATGTTGGCCATATTGGAGAACATGTTTGATCAGTATCTGTAGGGTTAACAAGTAACCAAATCTAGGGTGGTACCTAAAAATAAACTAAAATCCAAAATCACATAAAAAACCCCCCACCTAACTCCTCCAAAAAAAAACCCTACAAGAAAACAAATACACACACACACAAAACCAAAAAGAAAAAAGAAAACAAACAAAAAACCCTCAAACACACTCTCCGCCAAAAAAAGCCCAACCAACCAAACAACAACAAAAAAACCACCCGAAAAAAACCCTAGAACAAAAACTCCACAAAACAAAGAAAGAAAGAAAGAAATCCCCACAAAACTGGAGGAAGGAGAGCGAGAGAGGGAAAAAAATGATAGTGAGGCAGTAGATTAGTAAAAGAAACTTTTTCTGAAAACAACTCTACCTCTAGGATAAACTGGAACAACTATAAAATTAACCTACTCCAGAATTTCAAAGCACAGCGATTAGAACACTTATTAAGGAAGTGCCATACAGGTTGCATTTCACTTCCCAAAAAAAATTATTTAGATTTTTACCAATACCTGCCCCTTTCCAGGAATGGCAAACCAAAAAGTTAGTTTACTATGACGTGCAATACTTGCATGCAATGTAAGACACACTAATGTTGAACTAAAGTTTATCAGCCTTTACAGACAATAAAGCTTAAGGTAAAACATCAACAGCCAGTCTCACAAGCCATACTCCTTTCTGTATGCCACAATTACAGTAGTGATCCAAGTGTCATTGAACATCAAATACCCAGTATTCTACTGACCCCAAGCAAGCTAATCTGCAAATGTGCCCAAAAAAATGCCGGGGAAACGCATGCACACAACTAGACAGCTTGCTATTTTGAGGATGCACCACTGAACAAAAAGTTCCAATCTGTAAAAGCTTCAATTCCCAATTCCAAAACTGGAAAATATAGCTACTGTGAAGGAAAAAAAAAAAAAAAAAACCAAAAAACTTTGAACATTTAGCTAGGCTCTAATCTCTGAAGTCAGAAGAAACAAGACATCCTACCTTATCTAGAACTTGGCAAAACCATTGCTGTTATTTATTAACTGAGGGTGTCAATTTGGGAAATCACAAACATTTTGAACAGCAAAGGAATACAAACAAACAAAAAAAACCCCAATACTAAAGACAAATTTCTCTAACTGTCATAAAGATTGTATGGAGAAAAATATAAATCTTATTATGTTAGAGGCAGTTCAAAAACTAACTCTGAAAACGGACTGCTATATCTACAAACCAATACATCTTTGTGTAGTAGAAGCAATATATAAAAACGCTGCAATGCATATGCATCTTGTGAATGAAACATTCACATTAATCTCACCTTGTCACTGTCATCAGCACAAATGTGATCTTGATGGATTGAGTGGCATTGAAATGGTGTACCAATACTACCTGGAAAACAAGGAGGGAAGGGAGAAAAAAATAACTAAAATGATAACCCAATTTCTGTGAACACTAAAGATAAACATAAATTTAGCAAACTTTCTTTTCTCCAAGATTTAGTTGCCAAACAGCTAGGTTTGATAACAAAATAAGCATCAGAAAGACATTTCACAAGTGTGCTAATGTCTTCACTTGTATTTTTTAAGACTTTTTAACAGTATAAAATTATAGCTAGTTAATCAATTCAAAACAAACAAATGCAGTAAAGTACATATGCAAATACACAAATAAGGAGAAGCTATGCAATTCAAGTTTATATACTGTATTACAGAACATTTTCAGCACCCTGGGTAACCACAAACCAGCTGTCTCATTCCACCAATGCATTAAGAATAAAAAAGGAAAATTACAAGGTCAAAGTTTTAATTGTGTCCAGTTTTCTTGTAATGAGATTTCTGCCTGCTTAATGTTTCTATACAAGTTTCTTTATGCCTAGGAACAAAAGGGACAGTACACCCCTACAAAGGCTTACCCAGTCCTAAGACTTCTGTCCAAAGAATATACGAAAATATTTTACAAAGCTTCTTTCTGACTTATCACTTCAGAAAAAATATTATTTTTTCATAGGAGTCATTGTACTGGCTTTAAAGCAGAAGAGCATGATCATATTATGTATTTTTTGTAGGAAGGGAAGGCAAAGAAGAAATCACTATGCAGTTAAAGTTTCAAGGTGAAAAGGGAAAAAAAAATCAGTTTTAAAACTATTCAAAATATGCAGTGCTCTCCTCCCACTTGATTTAGAATTATGCAAACTACAAGTGTTTCACTACAAACACTCCACCTGTTTTCTTGAAACTGGAATCAATTCAAGCTCAAAAGCAAGCTATAAAACCCAAAAGAACATCCTGTTAAAAGTAAGGCTTGATATCTTTCTGCCCATTACCCCAGAGAAAGAACTGATGTAAAATACAACCTCTTGAATTTCTTTAAAATAAGAAAATAGGCAACAAAAATAATTAAGTTTAGCCAAATTACAGCAAATATATATAAACTTCTTTCAGGCATCTATGCATGTGGATAATGAAAGGAATTTCCAGAGGTGAGATTTCTAAAACTTACTCCCTAACAAATTAAAACTCATAAATGTGGACTTTGCATTATAGGGTACATTATATGCTTTATAGATAGGCTTTTCACAAACAGTGGTTGCACGCACCATCACAATGTTAAGCTAACTTTGTTCTAGCTATAACAGACACCAGCGCTAGCAACACAGCTCCAATAGCATAGCTTCCAGTTAGTAAATGCAACATAAGACACCTGGGCAACTCATCAATTTTCCTGATGCCAAACCTTCAATTCTAACAATATCCACATTAGAGAGGAAAAAAAAAAAATCTAGCGCACAGTTAGCAGAGAATATGGCAATGTTTTCCTTTAAATTTTTTCTCTCTTAACAGGATTATTCATGGCCTTTATGACATATTTGTTTCATTGGCAGGCAACTAATACCCTACAATACAATAGCAAGATATAAGACACAATTCCCAGCTGCAAGAAGTGAAGGCAATACACACATCCTGGTTGCTTTGCACCAGTGAGCTGGCTGACCTCACCAACAGCCTCACCAAAAGCTGCCTTTGGAAAAGAGTTTACACCAAAGACAGCATTGATAATGCAGTCCCTTGAATGGGGCCAGCAGAGGTAATATCTGAAGATATGACACAGCAGTCATGACAGTGCAATCTATAATGAGTTACATGGTCAGGAAATCCTGTAGGACTTTTCTGATCTTAAAAATATTTATATATATTATATATATACACACATACACACGTAAAATATAAAAGCAGTTTTTAATAACTAAGTTCTTAGGTTTTTAAAGCATTTTCTTTCTGACAGATTGCACTGAGACAAACCTGAAGACAGGTTAATCACCTTTTACCCACCTGCAAGTAAGATCAGAGTTAGAATCTCAAAAGACGGCCTCAGCAGCTCTCTAGCCTGTGTCAAAGACTTTTCAGTTGTTTAACCGTTAAAGATGCCAGAGGACTGAATGGAACGAAAGTCAATTTGCATTGCACTGACTGCAGGGAGTAGATACAAACTCAGTTAAACTACTATCTTATCCCCAAATTTACAGGGAATGCAGACCAACTTAAGACTAACTACACTCCAGGGCTAGCATATCAGAAGGCTACTACAGTCAAAGCTTTAATTCTGACTGAAGAACTATATTTGCAAAGGTGACAGAGTGGGGAAAATGCCATCAAGACTCCTACATATGGGGCAGAATGTGGCAAGTGGGCCACTGCTCACAGGACCTTCCCAAATGCACTTCCTTGATACTTCAGAAGATGCAACTGAGAGGTGTAACGCCCATAATTTTCTCAACCTTAATCCCAGCTTGAGCTTCCTCTCTCCCACAGTCAAAAGCAATTTCCACACTGTGCAAGTAACAGGGCACTTTGTGACAGTCAGCTGGTTTTGTCAGACTCACAGCTTCTACAATCTAAGTGACAAAAGAGTAGCTTCGATTTATGCTGAGACGCCACCAAAACGCAGCAGGCATACGTGAAACATCAGATCAGGCATCTCTTCACTATTACCAGTACCAGAGAGGGTGGAGGGTAATGACCTTCAATTGATGCACTATATGTATGTGTATGTATATACATATATATGTATATAAAAAACCTCTTTAAACACAGTTAAATTCTTTTGCACACCCTTCTTCAAATAAAGTGAGATACCCAGGTTAGTATTATGACTTGCACTCCAGGAAAAATATCAATTCTTTTGGAACAGGCAAGAAAGTGTGCTGTGCTCCCCAGCTACCACAGGAAAGGGATTGTTTTTCTTCAAAACCCACACATAAAACTGAACAGCATAAAGAATCTTCAGAATTTCATGGGTTCTGTCTAACTTCTGCATTGTAATAAAAAGCATCAGGTTTGAAAGGCCTGCTTCATGCTTGCCAATTTAAATCATCCAAACACATACAATGCTAGTCCAAAGGAAAAAGAAGTATGAATTCAAACCTTTTAGTTCAGTAACTTCAGAGCTATTGGAAGTACCTCATTGCTTAAATGAATGACACTGATTAATACATTCACTGATTCTCCACCACCAGTATCATTAGGAAATAATTTGTGTATGACACCTGCACTATTAAAGCTACTTTATCTGGAGTGAAGCTGTTGAGTCTTACTAGCTTGCATGAATCAGCCAGGTTCTGGGCTAAGTGTTTGATTTCCAAACTAGAGTTTGGAAAGTAGGAAATGGAAACAAAGTCTGAATTGGATCAAGTCTAGACTTTTTAATTAAGAGTCCCTTTAAAAAACCTGTGAGTCGAATGGAGTATATACATCCATGGTGAGATACAGCCATGGATGGCTAGTCTACTTGAAAAGATACAAGGCAAGGGAGGTTAAATTATCTGTGATCTAGGAACCTCAACTTCCAGCAAAATAATACAAACCACTCCTGCAGATTATTATGCTAGCCAAGAATTTTCCGCTACCTGCGGCACATTATTTAGATATTAGATGCTCCTTCTAATTCAAGAACCTTTCAAACTGCAGTTAAGAAGTCACTTAATGGGTAAACAGAATGCTTTACTATTACAACAGAAAAGTTAGAGGTGAGTTCAGTAAAAGACGCAGACGCAGCTACTCAGGCTGGTTAAGTAAGAGCAAAGCTGCAAACAAATTAAGTGCATACATATATATATATATATATATATACACCTTCAAACTTTTTTCCTATGTGTGCAAATCAAGCCACAAAGAAGAAACATGATACATTGTATGCTAGCTGCATACAATGCATACTAGGATTCCCATTCTTCCCTTCTTTCTTCCACTCCTTTTTTAATAAATGCCAACAAATTGAAATTCCCATGGATTTATATCCACTTAGACTGTTGAAAGAATTTATTGCGCTCTAGGAAGAACTAATATTTTTCAGTTGCGTGGTATGGGACACAACACTGGTAATTTAAAGCAACTCCTCAGCATGGAATATACCTATCTGAGACACTGATAAAACTCTGGAACACATTCCAGCCACGAAGCAGCCTAAATTCACTAGAGAAAGAAAAAAACAAAACTGAAAGTTCCTCCTGAACTTCTCTCCTTCCTTTCCTCCTGCTTCCTCTACTTGTCAAGAAGCAGTGCCTACTGTGCTGCACCCAGCACAGATTTGCTGGTGTTTTCTGAGTTCTGGTGTTTCCTTCTACATCGCGGCCCAGTCAACCTTTACTGACAAACCTGCCAGCCCCTTTTCCCCCCACAATGCTCAGCCAAGGAACGCTGTCCTCCATTCCATACACTCACTGAGATTTTATATATCTAGACTCATCAGGAAGCATGGTAACACTCTGCAAGAAAAGCTCCTCAGCTTTTCCTTTTTCTGCAGCTATCAGAGAAACACACAGCATGCTTACTAACCAGCAAGAAATGGGATGAAAATGACACAACTGAGAGCTCAACATGAAATCTGGCCCTACATTAATTGCATATAAGTTAAGTCTATCTTCCAGTAAAACTTCTGACTGAATGACACCTCTCCAGCACTTTTGAAGAATACGAGAGGAACCTAAAGGGAAAACTTTTCTTTTAAAACCTTGAAGCATGACGTATTTTAACAACACCAGAGCTTTAAAAAAAGAACAGACAAACCTCCTTTAGTACAGCAGAAAGCCTGAATATGAGGTAAGCCTCAGCTTCATAAACAAAACTTATCTGTAAATAAGAACTGAAGAAAGATCTTTTTACCTGAGGTTTCTGCTGTGTCTCTATAAGACTGCATCAACACTTTCACTTCAAGGACCATCTAATTTAAGTTTACAGGTACAAACTAGACAGCTTACCCCAGGAACTGTCCATAAAATGGCCCTCATAGCAGCCATCTGACTATAACCCCCATCTACTGTTTACTTTAGTGTTGAAAAATTTGTATTATTTTAAAGTAGGTATCAGTAGCTGGAATT